CTCTCCAAAGGAAGTTTTGGATAAATACGATTTAGTGTAAAATGTGTAAATTAAATATAAATATTTAAAAGAAAATGGTAAGAAAATGAATAGTAATGAAAAAGAAAGAAAAATAAAAGAAGTGAAGATAGAAAAAGAGTGGCGGTTGAGCGATTGTAAATGGGATTGTGAAGCATAGAAATAAAGAAATATGGATTTAAAGAAATATTAATATAAATATGGAAACTACAATGGAAAATACGGTAAATAATACAGAAGGACAATTAACAAAAAAAGAAATTGAAGCCCAAGAGCGGGCTAAAAGACGAGCAGAAAAAGAAACTCAACAATTAGCCGATAATAAATATAGGATAGAAAAAGTTTTTGATAATGATAGGTGATTAAGGTTGGGTGAAGTAGATGGAGCCACCGAAGAATTTGCGTGAAAGCATACTCAAATCCCTCTAATTGTGAAAGTAAAAAATGAATTGCCAATTAAAGGCAATGGGAGCCACCAAGTAGAAGGAGGTTTTTATAATGATTATTTTCCGTTAAAGAAAAATGATAAAGGTTTTTATTTAGTAGATTACACAGTAAGAAAGATAGAAACAAAAGGCTATTATGGTAGTGCGGGTCGTTTTGGCGATACTATTAATTATCTGGTTAGGCATTTAAAGAAAGTTGAAGAAGCAGAAGCCCGAGAACGAGATTTAAAAGATTTTCAGGAATTAGGATGAGATGGTTTTGTGAAAAAACAAACCGAAGAAGAGTTAACTATTCCTCTTTTAAAAGAAGTTTATTTAGAATTTAGCAGAATATATTATGATTACCATTTAGGCAGCAAAAAAGAAGAAGGCTGAAATGATGGTGGTTGAAATCGAGATGAAAACAAACGGAACACAAGAGACACAATTGACGAGTTATTATATTTAAAAGTTCCAACTTGAAAAAGTGATTATCGCGATAATGAAGTGTTTTGGGGTGAGTTAAAGAAAATTAAAGAGACAAATGGAGAAGGATTAATTAACCGCGTTTATACTCTGAAAAAGAGAGATAACGAGCAAAAAGAAGATGAAATTATTAAAAAGGCGATCGACGAATGATTGAATGATGAAACGAAAGCCAAGTATATTAATCTCTACCAGGAAAAATTAAAAGGAAATGGTCAAGAAAACGAAACCATTGTCAACCAAGCCATTAAAGAAGTTAAGGCGTTAATTGGTGAGATTGATATTTATATTTCAGATAGAAGTATAGAATATGATATCAAACGCCATTTAATATCTTTTAAGGAGTTGGCCCAAAGGAATATTGAAGAGGAAAAGAAAGATTGAACCGCCGAGCAGTGAAAAGTTTATGCTCCTTTGGGTAGTAATGGGGAGCCATTGAGTTCTTATTATATGGAGATGAAAAATTGAGATGAGTATTGGGCGGAAAGTTATTTTCGTGGTAAAGGGGTAGAAAGGGAAAATTGCGACCGAGAGGTGATCCGATTAAGAGAAAAGATTTTAGCAGGCGAGGATTTTGAGTATAAGTGTAAATTTTGCCAAGAGGCGGGCGATAGTTTATTTAAGCAGGGATGAAGGGGTAAATATACTGTTATTTATCAATGTTCTCGCTGTGAGAATACAGAGTATAAGATGAATATTCAAAGTTTAAAGGAGGCTATTGAAAAGGCTCAACAAAAAAAGGAGGAGGAATAATTTTTCCTCCTTATAGATATAAAGAATGGAAATTACATATGAACTACAATAAAATAAAAAAATTTTGAATAGATAACATAAAAAGCAAACAAAAAAGATGGAAAATTAAAGATGAGAAATTTTCAATTGCTAATTGAGAAAACGCCATTAACAATACTGATGACTTGGAACAATTACACGAATTAGGAGTTAAATTAAGAGAGGAAGTGGCTGCAAAAAATTGAGGTGTTCCTCTAATCTCCAAAACCAAAAGAAAAGAACTTTCTAAAAAGAGTTGAGATAAATTAATGAAAATTATGATGGAGGAACTAGAACAAGAAAGCGAAAAAGGAGTGGCTTTAAAATCCGCTTTTGACCATCAAGCAAACTCCATTAGCGAATTTCAAAATAAATTAAAAGTAATAGTAGGAAATGATTTAACCAATTGAGAAAGCAAAATAGTTAAAGCCGGAAGTAGCGATAAGGATATTACTGACTTGCAAAAGCAAGTTAATGATTTGACTAATAATAAAGATAATTTAGATAAAGAATTAAAACAGAAACAACAACAAATCCTAAATCACAAGTGCGATACTCCCAATGGTGAGGAATTGAACCAATTGAAAGAGGACTTAAAAAAAGCCAATGAGGAAAAGGAAGAATTAGAAAGAAAGTTGAATGAACCAATTCCCTCCCAAGAAAAAGAGGAGGACACCAAAGATTTAAGTATTGAGGAATTACGAACCAAATTAAATGAAAAGAATATAGTAATTGGGAAACTTAAAGCTCGGTTGGATAAGATGGAAACTGAGGCTAAAAATAACCCTAATGTTACTCAAAATTCTAGTAAAAGTAATGGGTTAGCATGAGGAATATCATCCTCTTTATTGACAGCAGTGATTATGATGGTGGTTTTTGGTTTGCTGTTAAAAAGGAAAAAGAAAAGAAAAAAATAATTTAATCTAGATATTAAGATATAATGAAATACATAACAATTGATCCGTCCGGAACAGGAACAACCGCTCTTGTCCTAATTAGTGATGATAAGCCCTTTAAGGTGAAAACTTTAAATGAAAAAGGCGAAGAAGTATTGATAGAAACTTATTTTTATTTTTTAGAAATAAAAGATAAGGAGTGAAAAGTGCATTTGAATGGTATTATTAGAAAAGTCAAAAGTTTTCAGCCTGATGCGATAGTATTTGAAGAAACAGATTTTATAAAAATGATGGGTAATGATATGAGGCATTTATTTAAACTCTTTGGAGCGATTGAATGCATTCAATATTTTATCCCTGAAATTAAAAAGATTTGAGGTATTAAGGCCGACCAAGTAAAAATTTTGCGACGGCAGATTTGTAGCGGGGTAAAAGCGAGTGAAAAATATACTGGTCATAATGTTTATTCTCATTTGCCTAGTGAAGTTAAGCATTTGACTTTTAAAGATGGTAGAGGTGGCGGCTATTTCTTTACTCATGCTGATGGTAGAAAGGAAAAGATAACCGTCCACCAAGCAGACGCTTATTTAGTTTATGTGATTTATAAGGAAAATGAAAAAAGATATTTTGAAAATTTAAAATCTAAAAATAAAGAAAATAAGAAATAAAAATAATATGATAGGAATAATAGAAACTTTAAAAGCAGAAGTAAAAAGCGGCAGTGTTAGAATATGTCGTTCTGGTAATGACGTTATTATCTACGACGTAGAGACCAAAGAGTTTATGATTTTTGATTGGGAGGCTATTGAGGTGGTTAAGACGCTTCGAGATCTTTAAAATGGTGGGGAT